TGCTGCCAGATGAGGACAGCCTGCCCGGAGATGCCAGCGATCTCAAGATGTCCACCTCTCAGATCAAGAGGAAAAAACGCCGGCACAGGTAGAGCCCAAAATGCGGCGACTGTGTCCCCCTTCTCACCCCCTCGCTCTGGTCTCCAGGCTGGGGCTGGTCTCCAGGCTGGATATCCCTAAGGGAGCAAAGAAAGAGAAGGGCTGCAGCTGGGGCTGGGAAGGGAAGAATTTTCAGGAGGAAAACCTCAGCTGCCAGCCCCGCTGCTTGCCTGGACTGTGTCACAGAGTGCTCTCTCCTCCGGGCAGGACGGTGTTCACAGCTCACCAGCTTGAGGAGCTGGAGAAGGCTTTCAACGAAGCTCACTACCCCGACGTCTATGCCCGGGAGATGTTGGCCGTGAAGACGGAGCTGCCAGAGGACAGGATACAGGTAGGTGGCTGCGATGGTTCTCTGTCCCCGTGGAGTCTGCAGGTGGTGGCACTGAAATGCTGCAGGGCACTTTGAGGTGGGGGGAATGCGGCTCAGCTTCTGCTCCCCCCCCCTCAGGCACTGAACATGCTCCAAACTGAAATGTGGAACCAGGGAACTGAGCTGGTCCCAACAGCTGCTCAATGCCAGCAGCTCGGCTCTGTCCTCCGGAGACCCAGCTCAGGCAGGAGCTGAGAGCGATTCAGGACCTGCTGGGCCAAGCAGTGTCCCGCTAGCTTGCTCACTGGGTTGTCCCTTTGAGGGACTGGTGGCATTTTAGGGCCTGATCCTGCCCCAGTGTGGAGCAGCTCATTGGTTTAAGAATGGGGCGATGGTCTGGGCAGCAGCCCCGTTGTACCTACACCCCTTGAGCCTTCAAATGCAGGAAAGGGGTGGGGAGAGGGACCCGAGCACCCTCTGTCATCATCGGTCACTGCATTAGGGACCCCTGTTTCTGGAGAGGCTAGTGCTCCAGGGGCCCTGCAGGTGGGCAGAGCGTAGGGTGACTTTGGTTGGGATCACCCTCCCGTGTCATGATCAGCCTCGTGTAACGTGTGCTCCCTCTCCCCCCCACCCCTTCCTCCCCTCTCTCACTGACACCCACGTGTGTGCCCTCCCTCACCTCCCTCCCTACGCACCGTCCCGGCCGCCCTTCCGCTGCCGCCTGTGCATCTGCACCCTGTGCTCGCACCCCCAAATCCCTCCACGCACCCCCGTGGCTGCCCCTTTGCCCTGGACGCATACTCCCCCCGTGCCCAACGGGCCCTGGATGCCCGGCCGCGGGAGCCACCTCCTCCCCAATCCCATCCCTCCGTGCTCTCCTGGCTGTTACCCCTGAAGGTTTGGTTTCAGAACCGAAGAGCCAAGTGGCGGAAGCGGGAGAAGTGCTGGGGTCGGAGCAGCGTGATGGCCGAATACGGCCTCTACGGGGCCATGGTGAGACACTCCATCCCTCTGCCCGAGTCCATCATCAACTCCGCCAAAAGCGGGCTGGTGGGATCCTGTGCCCCGTGGCTGCTAGGTAAGTGGGAGCTTGGGGCTGGGAGGGATTTGGGGGGAAAGCTGTGGAGCAAACGGCCCCTTCCTCTTTCGTATGGGTGTCCTTGCCTTTTCCCAGAAAAGAATGGGGTCTTGGCCACGAGCTGTATGCAGGCTGCCAAGCCCCTTGGCTTTTCCACTCCATTCTTGCAAAGAACAGCTGGGAAAGGGAAAATCTTTTACTGCCGTGTCAGACAGGTGCCTGTACATGGTTAGGTATCACTTTCTAGTGCTAGCAGCCAGTGTGGGAGTTGCAGAGCCTCTAGGAAGTTACCACCCTTCTCCTCCAAACTGAAAATAATGTTAATGCTACCTCAGAGCTACCCTCTGCTCATACACGGTCCTCCACCGAGGTGGCACTCAAAATCCAGGTTGAGATGGGCCGTCACAGCACCTCTCTCCCTATAAGTCTTCCCCACTGCAGGGGAGGTATGGACCAATTCTGCCGCAAGCCATCATCTCTCGGGCTGCAGAGCACAGGTGGCAAGGCTCCGGGTCGGGAAAGGCTGGTAGCTAGTGTAAATTTTCCTTGGGATGCAAAGCGAGAGCTGAAGGAAGCAGCTGAGCGGTACTGCGCAGAGAAATAATCAACAGGTATTCTTGACTTTGCTCTCTCCCTCTGCAAGGCATGCACAAAAAGTCCATGGAGGTGAGCAGGAAGGCAGAGAGCCAAGAGAAGCTGGCAGATGGCTGGCGAACGGAGCAGGAGGAGGAGGAACTCAAAGGGAAGCAGGCCAATTCCCAGAGAGGCTCCGAAAAGCTTGGCCCTGCAAAAGATTCGGAGGACACAGCCATCGACCTCTCCAGGACAGCCAAGCACGAGAAGAGGGGTGTACTGAGGCAGTGCATCAACGGGGACTCCCCCACAGAGCAGAACGACAGGGACCACTGAACTTGGGCTGCCCTGGAGGAGGCCAGACCTCACAGCTTCCTGGCGAGATAATATTTATTGATTTTATTGATAGAGAGATATATATTATTTTTTTCTTAAATAATTGAACTTTTATCTGAATTCAGGGCATTTGAAAACTGGGCACACACATCTCCCCTTGTCCCCTCACTTTCAAACTGTTCACTTCTCAGCAGAGTCAGGGTGGGAGAGGTGGGAGAGGTGTCCCAGCGGGACCAAGAACAGTGCGAAAATGAGCCAGCACTACGGTCGGCACGGACCGCTGCTGGAGAAAAGCTGCCCTTCCCCTCGGGGCTGCGACTGCTTCCCCGGCTAGCCAGGAGCACAAAGAGCAGCAATGCAATTGGGAGTCGCTCCCTTCTCAAATGCGTGGGTGCAAAGATGGTGCAGGAGTTTACAGCCACCTTCTCTGAGCACTTCCATCCCTGCACAGCACCCCTGTGGCAAATCCCTCTGCTTTGAATACACAATTCTTCCACCTCAAGGAGAAGCAGGGGCTTTTAAACATGGTAGGGTTCATCCTCAAGCTGGTGTAACGTGAGAGACGCACCGGTTTATACCTCCTGAGGATCTGGCCTGCCAATGCAGCCTTATCACTGGACTTACACTGTGGTAGCTTCCTTAACTCACACCTGGGAGAAGGGGGTAAAGACATTTTTGTTTATGCAATGATTTTGTACGCTCTTGAATGTTACCTGCCACACTATGCATAATAGAACAGACCTTTTTGAAAACCAAGCCATAGTAACCCGGAGCAATGAAACAATTTTGTGAATTGACATAAGAAGATATTTTGTAATTGTCTGTAAAAAGTGTTAACGTCAGAGCTGTTTCTTGGTTGTCCTATATTTATGTCTAAAAGCACTTTAGTGATCTGGATTTTTGAATGTGGCTCTTCCTGTTTTGTCCACCATTTATTTATTACACATCCATAAATAAAATTGTGCTGTATCTTTGGTTTTCATGCTCTGCATTGCAATTTGTACCTTCCTTTGGCGCACCTCATGGTAGCTGCTACTTTTGAGCAGATTCTCCACAGACTCGTGCCTAAACTGGACTTCAGAGCTCTGCTGAGGCAGCGTAGTTGTTCTAAGGGGGCAAACCCAAGCCCCCATGTGTCTCCCCAGAACTGGGGTCTCACGCAGTGGCCTCCACATGCCAGAAGGTCAGTGATTTGTGCCAAAGAGCCAAACCATGGCTGATGGGTTAGGAGATGGTCCAAAACAGAGCACTCAGCCAATTCCTGAGGGAAGTCACGAGGAGAAAGTTGTTCCCTTCTCCCAAGGGTTGTTGAAAATCCTTCTTGATACAGCTCAAGTGTGATGTTCTTCACTGAAATGGCTCCTGTCTTGACAGCAGGAAAGGCATTCTGCCTCTTGAGTCTCTGTGCAGTGCTCTCCTCCTCCTCCTCCTCCTGATCCTGCTGCTTCGGAAGGTGCAGAGTCGGGCCCTTTGTCCCCACATCTCTTGTTAAATACAAGGAGCAGCTGCTCACTTGGGCTAGGTGAGCGCAGAGTAGGAGGTACTGCTGGAGACACCTCTGCCTCCTGGGGAGGCACACAGAGCAGCTGCGTCATCCCAACTGCACAAGCATCCCCGGCGAGGCACAAAGGCGGCATGGCCGTCCAACGGCCCGACTCCCAGCTGCGATGTCTCCTCATTTCATGGCTGGGCGGAACTGGCCCACGCACACGTCGCGACAGCTCTCCTGGAACACCTCCAGTTTCGTCTGCTGGCCAAAACATAACGGCAAATTATCAAAAGGTTTTATTAAAATCTGAGTAATTCTAATTTGGAAAGTTTCCTAATACAGCTCAAGGGGCGTGTGGCCATGTAACGATGCTGTCACCTGTCACCGCCTCTGCTGCTGGGCCTGGCTCCTTGCACACGGGCAGCTACGGGCTGTGCTGGGTTGGGGGGAGAGCGGTGGGACGCTGGCTGGGAAGAGCAGAGCCATAAAAGTGGCATTTGCAGATTTCCTGCCTTTCCCCTCCTCTGCTCGGCCAGGCTCCGCTGGGTGGGGGGCGGAGGGAACATATGCATGGCAAATACAAGCTTTGCGGCGAAAAAAAAATGTTTGAGGGGGGCCGTGGGGAGCATGGTTCAGGAAAGGACCAGCCAGGGCTTATTGCAGCAGCAATTAGGCTCACCGAGAGCCGAGACTTAGCACATTGGAGGCCTAATCCTGCCTGAGCAGCATCTGCAAACCTTTTATTTGGGCTGTGCCACGCTGGCACTGGATGCTTGCAATATTTTTTTGTGTGGTTTTTTTTTGTTTTTTTTTCCCTGCCCGTGTGCAGATGGCCTGGCTCTTCGCCGCTGCAAGAGCAAGCACATCACCACCACAGCTGCTCCGAGGGGAAACACCACAGCCTCAGCCCTGCGCAGGGTGCAGACAACTCTCCTGGTAGTGCCTGGTGGGCTCCCAGCTCTCACCTCACGCTGTGAAGGGAGAGTCATGGGGAGGGCTGCTGGCCCGAGGCATTTTTTGTGTGCCAGGAAGTAACCGTGGGATGCAGGCAGGTATGCTGGGGCACAGAGCGAGAGAGCCCTTGCTGTTCTGGTCACAGAGTGAGAGAGAGCCCAGGGGAGGCCAAATGAAGGGAGGTGCTGGTGGATGACAGCAACTGGCCAAGGCTCAGGTCCTGGTTGCCATCAGGAGCTGGTGGCAGGGTCTGGTGGGGCAGTCCTCGGAGCAGGGACAGATACTTGCCTCTTGGCTGCCTGCTCTAAGCCTGGAGGGGAAGTGCTTGCTGTCTTCCATATGTCGCTGTGGTTGTAGCAGTAGCAGGAGTAAGGCAGCACATTCTTCTCGTCGTTGCTTCAGTTTTGATCCATCCTGAGGTTAGTGGTAGCCAAACCCAGGCATGGCTACTGCCAGTGCCGGTTCAGGCCAGGGCTGGTCAAGACAGTGCAACAGAGGAAACCCTGACTTTGGCAATGCTGCCGCTTGCGCACGTCTGTTGCAGTGGGGTTGCCCGGGCAAGACCCAGCAGCCATCTTGGTGACCACACCATGACTGGCATGAGCTTCTTTCTGTGAGGGGCTCAGTCACAAAGGCTGGGTTTGCTCAGACGGGAAATCCCTTCAATGTGGCGTGGGTAAGAGGAGTCGGTAACATCAAAACCACTGTTCAGCAGCCAGCACTGCCGCAGCCTCACTTCAGTTCATCGGGGTTGCGACTCGCCATGGCACACCCAGATCTTTTCACGGTGCCATGTGTACGGTACTAGCTGGGAATGTAAGTGATCTGCTAGACCAATCATGGAAGAAGGGACAAGGAAGGGGAAAAGAAAATAAAATGAGATTATTTTGGCATCTCTAAGGTTTTATGGGATCGGAGGCTGTCAGGCATGCATGTCTGGGAGTCACAAGGAGGTGGTGGGGGTGTCCTGGCGGTGGGCCCAGAGCAGGCGAGAACAGAGGAGGGTGCAGGGCTGCATTTGCAGAAGCATCTCAATGGTGCCATTTCTGTACAACTCATTTTCTAACTGGCATTTTGTCTCGGCCGATCCTCCCAAGCTGCTGGCTGGATTTTCAGATTGGGAGGTTAGGAAGCGAGTATGAACGTTTTGTAAGCACTCCCTCATGTGGAGCTGGGCGATGGCACACAGTGAGTGGCCCAGGAACGGAGAAGGCTGGCTGGAGTCCTAGAGGTAACCAGAAGCCCCACTCCTTCCCCTCAGCCCAACACACCCCTCCCTATCTGTGGGGCAACATGCAGGGGTGTCTGGATGTAGAATTAAAGAATCCTACGAGGGTTTGTTTTTCATTACTCACTTCTTGGATCACCAACAGACACTTGGAACAATGAGGAGCCCCTCCACAGAGCAA